GAAAGCTCCAACGCCAAGCTGCTCACTACTTGATGTAAGAAGGCAAGCTCTTCAAGAGGGGATATTCCCTACAATTACTGCGGTGCCTCGACCCAGAGGAGGTGAGGTATGTTATCCGCGAGATTCTCGAAGGGGTTTGCGGAAACCATGGAAGAGTTCGGTCCATGGCCGAGAAGATCATCCGCCAGGGCTACTATTGGCCGACGATTGAACGCAACACCAACGAGTTCGCCAAAACATGCGACAAATGCCAACGCTTCGCGAGCATTTGGAGACAACCCCCAGAGATGCTGACGCCGATCTCAAGCCATTGGCCTTTTGCTCAGTGGGGGATAGATCTGATCGGCCCACTACCGACGGGGAAAGGGCAGTTGAAGTTCGCCATAGTAGCTGTAGATTACTTCACCAAGTGGGTGGAAGCGGAACCTCTGGCGTCTATTACCAAGAAGAAGGTCGTCAGCTTTGTATGGAAGGTCATAATATGTCAGTTCGGTATACCGAGTGCCATCATTACCGACAATGAAAAGCAGTTTGATGGTGTCCGGTTTAATCAATTCTGTCAACAGCTCGGCATACGTCACATCAGCTCGTCGCCGGCCCATCCACAGTCTAACGGGTAAGTTGAAGCTATCAACAAGATCATCAAGCGTGGTCTGAAGACGAGGCTGGAATCTCTGAAAGGTCGGTGGGCAGAAGACTTACCAGAGGTATTGTGTTCTTACCGAACTACACCTCGCCGATCTACTGGTGAGACGCCATACGGCCTAGCCTTCGTGTCGGAGGTCGTTGTCCCTGTGGAAGTTGGCATGCTAACGCCCCGAGTTGAGATCTTCGACGAGCAAACCAACAGTGAAGCTCTACTCGTGAATCTTGACCTCCTCGAGGAAAAAAGATCTCACTCCCAGCTCAGGCTAGCAGAATATCAGAACCGTATGGCTTGGTACTACAACACCAGAGTAAAATTCAGAACGTTCAAGCCTGGCGACCTCGTCCTCAAGAAGGTAATGCTGCATGTCGGAGCACTCGAGCCGAACTGGGAAGGTCCGTATAGAGTCTTGAAAATACTCCGACCTATAGCGTATCTGTTGTCCGACCTCAACGGCAGACAACTCCCCCACCCATGGAACGCCGAGCATTTGCAAGTTTATCATCAATGAGATGTGTGTAATCCGACTTGTAAAGTTTCATTTATTAATGAAAGCCGATCTCCAATGACTTGTGCAAAATTTGACTTTATTCGTTAGAGTTGTTACTACTACCGGGCTACGTCAAATGGGGGCCAAGGAAGACTACGTGGTATGACCTATGCTAAACGACCTACAATAAGTTATATTTTTACAAACATGCGAAGCAATGGTCAGCTCGTAGTAACCTGGTTATCCCAAATACACACCGCCGAGCTGAATTGTTCTGCTCGTAAGCCGTTGTGTAGGTAAGAAATTACTAAGACTTGACAAACTCAAACGACGAGACCAGAACTAAAGCTGAGATTGAAATTTTAATCAAATTTTCGCTAAGTATTGGGACTTCGGAAAGAGTAACTCAGGTCTGAATAAAACCGCATTTCATTAAAAAGGAAAAGCTTGATGGAGAGCCGAGGTATATATGCCTCAGCTCAGTACACTGTGTTAATTTTTAAAAAAAAAGATGAAGAAACGAAGCGACAGAAGAAGGGGACGATCTACTCCTGAGGAGGGTCGGTGGGCTTGCTCGACCCTGCTTCGGCACCAGCAGCCTCAGCCTCTTTACCGGCCTCGACAGGGCGCTCCACCCAGATGGACTCGTATTCTTGCTCGACAGCGGCAATGGCTTCCTCCGAGCAAGCGATGTCGAGCCTGTTGATAGCATAATAGAAACCCCTGTCCGCCAGGT